GTCAATTTCTATGGACGCCGATACAACACCGGAAGCCGGCAGAAACAAGATTAAACCGGGCCTACTCTACACGCCCAATAAAGCCTAGGTTTGTAGGCCTGGTATCGGTTGAGGTCGCCATTAAAACACAGCGTACTAAACACGTTCTGCAGTGGCTCACGCAGAACCACGACAAGTATTTTTTCTCGTGGCGCTTCAGGGCTTATCGGGGTATGCCAACAACTTTTGCATTGGTAATGCATGAACGGCATCAGCCTAGAGAGTGAGAAACCGTTTTAGTCAAGTTATCGAAGGGATCATTTGTGCGGGATCTTGACTTACTTCTAGAGCCTACGGCAGAGCATTTTAAAGGATTGAGTGACAGGGTGCGTACGCACGCTTCTACCTTGCTAAATGGTGCACATAGCTGGTGGGACGGGGGGGCTGGGTTTTATCTTATGCGTCTGCTTTACCCGAAGCATCTGCGTCCTACTACACTCAATTGACCGCGCTTCACCAATTTTGGGGGACGCTGGGATAGTGTGGCAATCCATATATACGAGACGACCGGGGTCAGCAGCCGCTTTGATCCACATGTGACCGGATCGTTGTATGCCCTATATCGATCTTGCAAATCCGAATAATAGGGCCGACTGAGTTCTTGTTTAGCATCTCACTTGCGTAACGGTACTCTACATCTCACTCCCAATCCAAGTACGGTGTTGGACCGCGACGATACTTCTGGCATCTCCTCCTTTCAGTGTCCAGATGGAACTCGAACAAGACCCTCCATTGATGCTTCGCCATGCGCCTCGGCTTCGTTTTCGGCCCGACTGGTCCAAGGAGAGCAGGGGACACATTGTTGGAAAGAGGGATGATCCATTCGGCTCAGTTGCCGAAAAGGTTCGACTTCGCCAAGGTGATGATTGGTTTAGCTGGGTTATCATTACCGACCTCCTGAATGTGGCTTTGAATTTGGGGGCTGAACGTTCAGCTGAAGTTCACCGCCTCCGACGACACGGCGTGGTGTTTTACGCGCATCCCAGACACCACAGGTTTCCGTAGGCGGTCGCCGACAACGTCTCAAACGGTTTGATTCGAAGGAATGTTTTTTGTTCGGCGTTCGGGCTACACAAACGTAAACTTGCTGAAGCGTTGAAACGGTTGATTGAGCGATTGGGTATGGCCTTCAGTACAGATCCTTGTCAGGGGGTCGCGGCGCATCAGCGCCCCTCCCCAGTTTCTGATCACGCCCATGGTATCACTGGATATTTGGCCTGTACGTGCTATCGAGTCGCTACCAAGCAACTTAACATATATCATGAGCATCGTCACCTATATAATAGTTCTCGGGCAAATTCGCGGTGTCATGGGGTTAAAGATACAGCGGCTCACATATTTTGGGGATTCCCGAAAGCACGTGCTTGTTGGAGCAAACTAATAGGTTACTGTACAGTGGTAATCGTTCAGCATCTGTTAGGTTCCCGGCGTTTTCTCGGAAGCGTTAAATTGTAGGCTCCTTTAATTCCTGCCAGACAGCGGTTCCGGCTAACGATACGATTTTAGAATGACGCAGATGCTGCGGTCGACGTCTGGCGTAGGATTTAATTTTGATGATCATCATATGCCTATCTCACTTATATATCGAGCGCTGTGACGCAGTAAACAAGGGGAAGCAAACGTTGTCTTAGCAAAGCATCTCACGATATTGGGAAGTCGGGATCCAGCAGCTCACAGCGCTGGAAAAACGCGAGCACAGAGGGGTGGACACAGTAGTCCAAGAGCCGTTATTGCGCGCTGGGCTCGACCTCTTTGCCATAGATCCTCGAGTTTTTAAAGACTACGGAGGATAGTTTCAAAACACTACCGAATCCGGTACTCCTTTCTTGGCTCAGGATCTTTCGGACATCTTGTACGTAGTAATATGTTAATTAAACGTCGTTACATCTCTCTATCTAAATAAACAAGGAAACAGAAAATTGGACAAATCAATATGAAAGTACAAGGTCTTCAAAGAGCCGAGAAGGTATACCTGTGTGCCAACTTTTGTAGAGGCTATATGCACCTAGCATTATTGCTAAATCCACCGGCGCTTATTTATTAGACTTAATGTGTATGTGGCAACAATTGTATCACATTCAGGCCATGTCAATTCAAATATTGCATGATAAGCTAAGTAGAAATGCACCTGTTACATAGCCACGTCAATCTAAAAAGAAATCCATTGTTGCCTAACGCATGATGATAAGCCCTTCATTCACCTCCACTACTTCTGATTCCACTGCTACGGTCATTAATGCTAATACTTATTCTATCCACCTCCACTACTTCTGCTGCCACTGCTACGGTTTTTGAGGCTGGTACTAATTCTGTCGTCGCTGATAATGAGGTAATGTTCAATGTTTATGCTGGCCCTAGTCCTGCCGCCGCTGACATCTTATGGACCTGTGAAGAATCTCCACCGGTCGAGCCTTATAACAGTCAAAAGACGGCTGTCGAGGCTTTGAATCATGACGTTGTACGGCAAGGCTTTGCTATTAGTGTATCCCTCAGCCGTTCGATTGATCCCAAGCGCAGTTTTCTCACATGTTGGCAGGAAAAACATTATCGGAGATCCCACAGTCGGCACACGTCAATGCGAGATCGCGGAACAAAAAAGGTCGGCTGTTCGCGCGAGCTCGTGATCATGTATGTTAAGAAGGCTCCGAAAAAATTGCCTGGTCAACGTTTTTCGTGGTCAACTGATACACCGGCCACTCTCGTTGTAATAGCAAGACCATGCTCTCAGCGTCACCGGCGGCTCGACGTGCGACGCGATAAATCGACGATAGCAATTCTAAGGTCGTCCAGATGCATCAGGATGGACCTCATCCACAAGTATGTGTGCACTTTGGAGTTATATACAGCAGGCCATTATCTTTTTGTCTGTATGGGGTTATTTTAGGATATTGTTAACTAGTTTAAGGAGGCAGGTGTCATTATAAATGCCAAGGATGTCCACAATATCGTTTAGAAGGTAAACAAAAAGGCACATGGTGGAAAATCACGCACAGAAACTCTGCTGCGACACATCAAGGACCAGAATATTTTATTTACGGTTGCAGTGATAAGCGGCGGGTGCATTTTTAATTACATATTTTGCAACTTATTTAAATTAGCGTGGCCTGGCTCCGATTCAGGTGCATTTCTGATTGGTTTATCCTGCAATATTTGAATTGACGTGGGTTAAATGTGATACAACTGTTGCCATATAAACCTTCTGTCTAATGGACAGGCGCCGGTGTATTTAGCAATAATACTAGGTGTATTTAGCCTCTCCCGTCAACTTTGTTTGAAGTTATGACGTTCTATCAATTTTCAATTGAGCTTTGCAGAAAGGTTTCTGGCTGGATACAAAGACAGACATCCTGTCCGGCGCAAACGGAGTTCGAAATGCTCGCCGCAGCTGCAGATATTTCGTCCACGCCCGATCAGTAGCAGGCGTTTGAGGGGCGATGACGCCGCCTTGCCCGCAAAGCTTCACCACGACGATGAATTGATTGAATTTGGTGTGAACTCAGGCGGAACTGCTGCCGGGCAGCTGTGAATGTCCCGACTACGCTATAGCTGCGAATGTCTTGGCTGCGCTATAGCTGTGACGAGTGCGTTGTTCGATCGGAAAAAGAGCCGCTGTTGAAGCAAAGCATCTTCAATGGCCTCCTGCCGCTACAAAAAGGCGCGAGCTAAGTTGTGGGCTGCTCGCCCGTCATCATTTACATATATTTGACAGTTTGGCAGCGCATGCGTGTATCGTATTGCAGTTTCAGCAGGTGATTGTTACATTCGTGCAAGCTTGTAGGAGCCTTGCGTTCACAATTTCGTAACATGGCTGCATCTGGTATCACGAGCGAACCATAACGCTTAACCCCAACACAAAGGGCACAGCCTTCCGGAGAACTGCTCCAGTCGGCTGTGCCAGAGTCGCACCAGTTGCAGGTCGCAGTGGCCCCGGATGCAGGTCGCAGTCCTTTGGTTTCCAGTCGGGCCGCACTCTAGTTCAGCAGGCGCAGTCCTTTGAGTTCCAGTCGGGCCGCAACTTCCATCTGCAGCGGACGAGTCTCCTGGTGATCCATGTCAAGCCCTTGACAGTGGCCCCACTTTTCTCTGATGCTCAGGAAGTACAACCTGTAGGTTGTACTTCTACACCACACAGACTTGTTATTCGATGATCACCCCTGCTTTCCGACGAGATGAAGTCTGCAAAGTTTCGTCGTGATGAGTCCAGGTGTCGTAAGCCATCACTTTTACGCTACCCATCCATTGTCATCGACAGAGTTCATGGGTCTTCTTGTCGCAGCTATGGGTCTTGTCGAGTCAGGACGCTTCGTTTGGCCAGAGTGGCTTGCAGCCGATACAATCTCAGGCACTAGACGCGCTGCAAAGTCAAGTCGACACGCGTATGCTGGGTCTGTAAGTGGCGTGGCAAGACAGGCATATCAGTATCAGCAAGAATCGACTCGGGCGCTCATAGCGATAGACTGGTTGGTTCCGCACTTATACTCGCAGCCTGACTTCAGACCAGGTTTCCGGGCCTCATGGAATTCACGAGAGTTGTGCTAGGAATGCTGCGAGAGTGAGTCGACGGAAACGTCTGGAGCCAGTGTGGTGCCCCTTGTCACGCATGGCTTTGTAGCTATGACGGCTGATGAGTTGCGGGAAAAGATGGACTACTAGTATCACAGTGCTCTTTCGCTCGAATATCGAATGCGAGCGGCTGCACATAAACAGCTACCATACCTGGCTTCCCGGTGTCTTGCTGCAGCCACGATCCCCACCCACGCCAGTTATGTCCTAATCTCGTGACGCCATTCGTTGACGATCACGACGACTGGTCTGGTCAGCGTCTGGCATGGAGCAGTCTTTTTCTGCAACGCTGCACAGCGCATCGCATTCGGGTCGCTCGAGCACTTGTGTAGTTTGCTCACTTTTCGTTTCGCGCACCTTTGCCCAGTGCTCGTCCCTGGCATACCAAAGGTCGACTGATGCGGGTTTTTTACCTCGTCGCGCCCTTTTTGGGTGGTGCGCTGCCTGCCATCACTGATGGAGCCTCCGGACTCATCGAGCCAGGGGCCACGGTTCATGGTCCGCATGAGCTCGAGCACAAGGCGGCCAGCAGACTTCTCAGGGCGCAAACATCCGGCAGCGAAGACCAGGAAGATCGAGCAATGAATGGGATTCGCAGAGTGGGCGGCGTTCTTTACGACTTTGCTGTACAATCTGGCTTTGAAGCGGAGTTAGCGTTTATTGATTTCATGGCCCAGCTTGGGTATGACCGTATCGAGCATCTTAGCAGTTTAGCAAAACGGACACTGGTCACAAAGGTTAGAAGCCTTCTTGGTCATTTTCCGTCATCGCTGACTGATGAAGAAAAGCTCAACGAGAATGCCAAGGTTTTGGGCATTCTTGAACAAGAGGATGGCGAGTTTATGACGGCAATCGTGTTGTCGATGTCCGAGAAGTTGCTGGGCGATCAGTATCTGGAAAGAGTGAAGGGGGTTCAACGGAAGCTGTTCGATAAATGGTGGAAGGATTGGAAAAGTCCGGAAACCATCAGAAATGAACTATACCTCTCTCCACAATTCATTGCGAAGGTTGATGCTGAACTCGTGGATGCCATCGTAGCCAATTACAAGGCGTATTGTAGCCCGCTCGGTGTACGAAAGGACAAAACTGCGTAGAAGCTAAACGTAGAATGTAATGTCGCTCTATTATCAAGTGTTGTCCATTCTTATCAGTCGGTCTGTATCCTTTCTTATTCTCGTGCGTCGATTGTGTGCAACTGGCGTCCATGTATATCTCGCTCGAGTAATGTGCTTCGTCAATCTGACTCTCGCACAGGCTGCATGATATCTGCATGTAGTGTAAGCGTAGCGGCAGACAACGCCAACATATCGCCAGCTAAGCAAGTTGTAACGAGCTTATAAAATGGGATGACCCCATTTCATGGTATTGATATCAAAATAGATGATTGCCAAAAGTATTATTTATCAACTAATTAAGGGATTATACACAATATATATAGGGAATTGCTAAATTCACACCCCTTTTCCTTAGATTCACACCCTTCCTTCAAAATCTTACATATAAGGTCGAGACCGAGACGGGTACTGACTCAATTGAGCTTGCCGGAGCCGCTGCAATTGGCGAGACGGCTGTCTTTGCCGGTGCGTCTGACGATGTTAGAGAGGCTGAAGCTGTGACGCTTACCGCGCAAACGGAAGCCGTTGCCGAGTCTATGACGGTTGTAGAGAAGGAGAAGACGAACGTTGGCGCTACATTGGAGGGCGCTGTCGAGGTACAGGAGACCAACGTCGAGCAAGTGGATACCGATGGCAAACCCGCAAGAGCAGCTAAGCTTTGAGTGAAGAAAACGTCTACATTTCCACACGAAGGTACCGTCTCCAGCTAAGTATAAACGCCGCTGACCATCACACGCAGGACCAAAGTGTACATTTTTCTCACGATGAAGTTTCAGCCGCGTTCTGGTGAGGCAAAGACCACTGCAACCACAACGTGGATACGGAAGTAGGAACTGTCGTTCATGTATACAGTAGATCAATACCATCGTACCCGATACGCTTTTTGATACGAGGCGAAGTACTATACGTTGTTGCCATCTCGAACTCTGCTTTGATCTGCACGGCCAGCTTTGTGCCCTTGTCTCTGTATGATCGATCGACACTGGGTACTTCGTGACTTGCAACACAACCTCGTCAAGCGTAAACGTCACGATACAAAGGTTTATTTGAGGACAGTTGATCACAACTGCATTCCTCGCTGTCTCTCTTTTGTCCGTGCTACCCGTATGTTCCTCATGAGACGTTCATTTCGGCGGCACAAGTACAGCAAGCGACAGAGGCTATGTGGAGAAAAGCGCGTATAAACTGCTCGGTAAGGTGTGTCAGCGAGTGTTTTGCTGCATTCTTTGCTGCTACAAAGATAAGGCTCACGAGGTCTTCGGACCGTCAAGTTGAGATTGCAAGGCGCTCCTTCATGCAGAACACCGCCTCCGGTCCGAGACCTTATCTACATGGATAGACAAGTGCTGTAGCACGTGCGAAAACTGATCTTGAGGTCGAGTCAGTATCTCGCAGTAAGTAGATGACGTCGAATAAACATACACACGAACTGACACTGTCGCTTACTTGTTCACATGCTGCAAATTGACAACTAATTAGCTGGAATGCAGGTACCAGTTTCTTCTCGAGGTGGTCAGCATGTACTTGACCGGATCGTCAGTTGCTGCATGCGTTTGTTGCACCCGTATCCAAAACATCTGAGCTGAGATGTCGTCATACAAAGTCTCTCTCTCTCTCTTTCTCTCTCTAACTCTTTCAATGACTACACCACGTAGCTGCCAACATACGCAGTGTAACGGGGCAGCCCGTTACATGAAATTGTCACTTTAAGGAAAGTGACAATAAAGAATATAAGATGGATATTCTTTAAACAATATCACCAAAGTGGTGATATTGAAGGGTCGACCAAAGGGTCTGTTTATTGGTTGATATCGTGATGATATCAACCCACCAATCGCCGCAAGACGCGCGCAATGAGTGGTGACGAGACGTCACCATACATGCAGTTATATTAGTATAATTGAATTAAGTCAAACGAAGAGACAGTAGTTTAAAGACTTAATTTTATTAATATAATAGTTCTACTTTTACCCTACCTACGCTTCCTCGCTTGCCACGCGTACGTCCGTCGGGGCACCCAAATCCCTTGCGTTAAGTTACGCAAGGGTGTGCCCCGTTACACCTGGTAGCACTTTGTAGTCCTTCCAAGGACCACATCATCCAACATGAACATGTTGGATGAAGAAGACACCTTTCACGCCACGCGTGAAGGGTTTACCCATTTGAGTGACATCGAATGGGGTGCGGTAGAACGAATGAGTTCTACCGTAGGCGAACTCGTCGTCAGCACCATGTTGGAGTCTCTAGACAGAGACCAACAACATGCCGCTATCGCCAAGTTCATTCAACATGAACTTGTCACTAAAAGGGAGAAAGTAGCCTTGCTTCACCAGCAAGGCTCTCAACAGGCCGAGCAGTTGAGAGATCTCGGTGCTCAACAGACGGAGCTGTTGAGACAGCAGCAATTCCATGCTGCTGTGGGCGGGACGGCGCATGCGCGTCGTCCCGAAGTCATGAAAGTTGACATCTCCAAGTACAGTGGAGTCCCGGAGGACTCCCTGTTACTATGGTTTGTCGAACTCGACAGAGCCCTAAGGGATCGTCGCGTCGAAGATGAGCAAATGAAACTCACATTTGCTCAGACCCACTTGGCAGGGCGTGCCAAAACCTGGTTCCTGGGACTCGAGAGTAGCGACCCAAACGTGTTTAGGTCGCTAGATGACTTCAAGTCCCGGCTCAGACAAACGTTTGAGCCGCCACGGGCTGAGTTCAGGGCTCGTTCAGAGCTCCTGAAACTCAAGCAGGGTAAGCGTGATGTGCACGCTTACGCACAACAGATACGACTCCTTGCGAGTAGTATAACTGCCAACCCAGTTCATGAACACACGTTGATTACGGTGTTCATGCAAGGGCTCGCAGAAGGGCCCGTCAGGAGCCACCTGTTCCGCCTTGAGCTGAATACGCTTGAAGAAGCGATATCAGCCGCGGAACAGGAAGACTTTAGCATGAGACAGGCTCATGCTAGCTCAAACTCTTATCGTCCACCGAGACGACAAGAGATTGGAGGTCCAGAACCAATGGACCTCTGCTACGTTGAGAGCGAGAGACCTCGCTCTTCAAACAACAAGCGATTGCAGAGGTGCAATCGCTGTCAGAATTTAGGGCACTACGCATACGAGTGTAGTGCTTCACGCCCAGTACCAAACAGTACTGAGCGAAATGGACGACCATTCGCCAGAAAGGGCAATGGGCGTGAGTCCAGCGCTGTTGCGAAGCCGCAACAGCGAGACGGACCATCAAAATATGGTCGGGGTCAGTAGGGGCGGAGCGCCCTCCTGATCCAGCAACCTCAAGAGAATTTGCAAATCTCTTGGCGAAAGTTGCTCCAGATACACAATCATTGTGTGTCTCTGCACCTGGTGATGACGTTTCGCTCATCACCTTGAAGTTGGAAGCGACAAATGACTTGTCGCTTCGTGCCCGAGTAGACTGTGGGGCGTCAAACAACTTTGTTCGTCGCCAGTCACTAGAGGGTCGTAGGCTCAAGTTCGTTGAGCGCGACATTCCCCTCACAAGGATGACGGTGCGCCTTGCAACAGGCGCATCGATAACCGTTGAGAAACGTGTAGTAGGAATCCACTACACGTTAGAGGGCGAACAGTACGATGATGACTTCATCGTACTGAATCTGGATGACAAATTTGATTTCATCCTGGGGTTACCTTGGCTCAGAAGGTACAAGCCAAGGGTGAGCTGGCAGCATCGATCCGTGAAGATGCCTGCCGCTTGTTCATCAGATGGCCATCTGATGAACATCTTGGAGTGTCCACAAGCGTGTGCATGTTCTGCGAGTGAGTGCGATGGCCTCACTTGCGGTACGGTCGTTAGCACGACTGCACAAGATCACAGTGTAGCTGATCACTACACTGTGGAGCAAGCTCCCGGCGGCTGTACAGAAGTACAGGCTGCGCCGAAGGTCCACCACTCGAATCAGTCGAGTGGACCGGGACATGGATGCATGCCTAGCGGGCAGCATCTTAGAAGTAAGAAATCTGTTGCCCCCAAGGGGCAACATGAAAATCCTAGGTCGACTGGAGAGTCGACCGTAGAGGATCGGTGCCTGACTGTGGTTGCACAGCCACAGTCGGAAGACGTCGAGGGAATAAGTCCCCACGTACTTGAGGAAGGAATTCCTCAAGAGTCGCTTGCTGAGGGATTAGGCCTTCAGCGACCTGTGGAAGCAAGTTCCCAGGAAGAAACCGAGACGTTGAATGTCTTGGTTAATGACGGATCAAGCGTAGGCGCTTATACGCTTGATCTGATTGTGCCTCCGAAGTTGACTTCGGAGATAACTCAGTTGCCAACGCTAGAACCGAAACGGTTCTTGCGTGATCTGCGTAGTGGCAAAGTCAAGCAGATCTGCATACTCGTCACAGAGGATGAGTATGTGACCGACATTCGGTCGGCAACAGTATTTGCTGAGAACGAACGGGTTCTCAGCAGCTCATCGATGGACGAAAGTGTCCTCGATGAGAAGACTCGGATTGAGCGATACACGTCTCAATCCTGGGAGTCAATTCCGGCAAATCCTTTGTATAAGGATTTGATCGAATTTAAGGATATGTTCCCTGAATCCGTGCCTTGTGAGTTGCCTAAGGGCAAAGGCACTCGACACGAGATCGAGCTCAAACCGGGCTCGAAATACTGTGTCATGAAGCAGTGGCCACTGCCTCGTGAACAAGTACTAGCGATCGACAAGTTCTTTGCCGATCGCTTAGCAGCGGGCCATGTGAGGGAATCAACATCCCCTCACAGCTCTCCGACCTTCTGTGTGCGAAAGGCCACAGGAGGGTGGCGGATAGTGCACGCATTCAACAAGTTGAATGCTGCAACGGTACCGGCTCAGACGCCGATACCGAGGAAGGACGTAATCATAGATGGTATGTCAAAGAGTACCATCTTTTCGTCCATGGATCTGATGGATGGATTCTATCAGATCCTTATGCGTGAATGGGATGTTCCGTACATGGCAGTGATCG